CTGCGGGGGCGGCCCGGCGGAGGCGCCGGCGGCTCGGATTTGGACGCCCGAAGTGGGTACAGAAAAAATTGGTACAATGCCCAACAACGAATGTTGTCCCAAACCAACAGCGGCCGCTGTTGGGCAGGCGGCCTTCTGCCTCGAATGGACACAGGGCGCGGCGGCACCGACAGCGAGTCCTGTGCAAAAGGAGCAGGAACTGCTGTTGGGCATTGTACCCATCCCTTTCCGTGCCCACATCGGGCGTCCAGATCGGAGAGGCGCGCGCCCGCGCGCGTAGCGCCCGCTCCGCGGCGCGCGCCGCGGGCGGAGGCCCTGGCTCGGAGCTCCACCGTCGTCCCCGCCGGGCACCCGCGGCGGGCAGCCCGACGCCAGGCCCAGCCGCACCCACGACGGGCGGCCGCACACTTCGGCTGCGGCCGCCCGTCGGCCTCCCGCCTCCCTGCTCCGTGCGCCCTGCTGCCCTCGCCTCGTCCGCGCCTCGGCCCTCCCCTGGCATCTCGCTGTTCCCTCTTCGCTCCTCTTGAGATGGGGAGAGGGGGCCAGCACCAAACGTGGAGCTATCAAGCATACCGTCGGGGCGTTGACCTAAGGAACCCTCCATAAGGAACGAGGCCCCCTTTTTCCACGAGTGACCCTTCGATTTCCGATCGAAGACCTGAGGAAAGCCTGGGGCAAGCTGCGAGACAATCAAGGAACACGGAGCCCCTCCCCAACGAAAAGGGTTCCTTCTTCAGGGCCCCGACTGTACGACCAGCCCGCATGATGAGGATGCGCGGCAAGGATGCATGGGGCCTCCGAAGGCCGTGCCGACACGTTGCGGGCGGGGCGCGGTCGGCGAAGGCGGCCAAGGAGGGGCCGACGGGGAAGGCTGCAAGGGCAACCCTTGGAGAGCCGATCGACCTCACTGTGCGGGTTGACTGCATGCTGCTTCCGCGGCGCTGGCCTGCTCGTGGGCCGCGCTGGCCCCGAGAGTAATCCCAGCAGCCCCCCAGGGCCTAGGCTCGGGGGCGGCCAGGAGGGGGGCGTCCAAGAAGGGGAGGGCGCAAATCATGGTGGCCGGCGGCGTGCGCGCGGCCGCGGGGGGGTCGGGGAACGTATTCAGACAAGAAGGGGCGCCATGAGGTCTGGGGAGGTATCATGGCCTCCGCCATGATTTACACCCCGCCTAATCATCACCCCCCTCTTGGCCGCCCCGGATTAGGTGGTCTAGAGCGTTTCCTCTACCAACCCTCCTCTTCTCCTTCAGGGGAGGGGACACATCACTGCTCGGTATGAACCTACACCCCTCCCCCTCCCGACCGGCGACAAACCCTTGCCCATGCCGCCCCACCCCCCAGGCCCCATCATCCCTTCCGCAAGAAAATAAAAGCGACCCCAGGCTTGCCGTGGGCCACCCCCCTCGTCGCCGCGCGTCGTCTGGGGCCGGGGTGTTGGGCTAGCGTCTCCGCGCTCGTCGTCGCCGCCCGTCGCGCTGCCTGGTCGTCGCCAGTCGTCTGGACCTGGGTGTTGGTTTGGCGGCGCATTGAATGCACCACACGGGTTGCACCACACAGACTGCACAACATAGATTGCACAACGTGGGCTGCACCACATGTGTTGCACAAACTAGATTGCACCGCATGCATTGCAGAGCACGTGTTGCGCAAGACCTACTGCACACAACATGTATTGCAACACATGTATTGCAACGCATCGGTTGCACACCATCTATTGCACAACATGGGTTGATCCACGTAGATTGCAGCACATACATACATTGCTCTACCCATATTGCAAAACATAGACTGCACCACACAGAAGGCACCACATAGATAGCACCACATCTATTGCGTAACACAGATCGCACAACCTTGGTTGCTAGAAACACACTGTTCAGGGTCCACGCCGGCAACATTTGCTAGGGACGGCGGGGGTGCTGGCTTATTGCTTGCTGTGCGCAGTGTCAACAAAGCCTATACCAATCCGTCAAACAAGCAGCGCAAAGTGCACACCGCACCAAAACCTGGATCATGCGCGGGCGCCCCACGATCACTCTTTTGGACACCCCAAATGGGTACCGAAAGAATGGGTGCAATGCCCAACAACAAATGTTGTCCCAAACCAACAGCGGCCGCTGTTGGGCAGGCGGCCTTCTGTCTCGAATGGACACAGGCCGCGGCGGCGTGGACAGCGAGTCCTGTTCAAAATGAACAGGAACCGCTGTTGGGCATCGTACCCATTCTTTCCGTACCCATGTCGGGCGTCCAAAACTCTGCAGTGGTGTTTGACAGGGGCGGCTCGGTTGCCGGCACGTCGCCTGCTGCGTGCAATGCCAACCCCCCTGCAACCATCCCCTGCATGCCACGAGACAGCCAGCACTTGGCACCAGCACCTGCATCATGAGCGCACGCCCCGCGATCACTCTGCACGACTTACTGCGAGGAGGAGGAGGAGGAGGAGGAGGAGGAGGAGGAGGAGGAGGAGGAGGAGGAGGAGGAGGAGGAGGAGGGGAGGGGGAGGGGGAGGGGGGAGGGGGAGGAGGGGCGGCGGGGATGCGGCATGCTGCATGCCGTGTGCAAACCCACCGTCCCCGCAACAACTACAGCACAGTGATTGCGTGTGCACACCCGCACACAATGCACAATGCTCGCAAACCCGCCGTCACTTTGCACATGATGTTGACGGGGATGGTGGGGGGGGCGACATATTGCCCAATGTGGCGCACCTGATGCGCGTGGCTCACCTGGCATGCACGGAGCACCTCGCGGGCAATTTATTGCACATGGCTCGCGACTGCATCGGTTCCCGTGGTCATCGATGGCGGCCCCTGCCCATGCTGAGACCCGGGTGCTGCTCCTGTACTGGGAGGGCGGGTGGGAGTGAGCGAGACAGCCTGCGGCGTTCTCGCTGTGAACTTGATCACCCTCCCTGACCCGACGAGCGACCAACACGGGACCCTGCCGACCCCCCCCCCCATCCCCGGAAGCACACCCAATACAAAGTGCACTGTGCACGAGAATCTGGATCGTGCGCGGACGCCCCGCGATCGCTTCGCGCTGGCTTTTTTAATATAAGCAGCAGGGATGCTTGCACACGACCTGCTTTGCACAACGCCAACACACCGCCACCATCCCTGGCAAGATTTACTGCAAAGTGCACTTCGCGCCAAATTTTGGGTCATGCTCGGGGGCCCCGCGGGCGCTTGGCGTTGCTTGTTGACAAGGACGGCGGGGTTGCCAGCGTATGGTCTGCTGTGCGCGGGGCCGCCATCCCTGTCAAACCAATAAAAGCTAATGCATTTCGCAGCTCAATCTGCACCTTGCGCGGACACCCCGCAATCACTGTGCACGGGTTCTTGGCAAGGACTGCGGGGATGCTGGCATGTTGCCTGCTCTGTGCAAGCCCGCCCGCCAGACATCACGATGGTCACGCCGCGATTGTTCCCTGGTTTTCCGATGTTCGTGGGCGCGCCTGCGGCACGTTTCCCGATGTGCGTGGGCGCGCCTGGGGCACGCGACGAGGCTGGAACATGTCGCACACTTGAGGCACTTGGGCCACCTGTTACGTCTGGCGCACCAGGCGTGCCTGGCCCGCGTGGGCCTCAGAGGCGCCTGGCACGCCTGGTTCAACGACAGCCACTGGATATGCGGACGCTTGGGTGTTACTCATGTGTTGGGAGAGGTGGTGGAAGTGAGCCGAGTTGTTTGCGCGCGGGAGAGGCACCTTGACCACTGTTCCCTATTAGAAAACACCGCCTCCCCCACGCCACCGGCAGTCAACCCTGACCCATGCCGACAACCCCCCGACCATCTCTCCCCAAAACCAATACACAGCACACGTTGCCTCCAAATCTGCAGCATGCGCTGGCGCCCGGCGACCACTTTGCGTTTTTTGTCTGACACGAGCGGCGGGGGTGCCCTCAGATAGCTTGCTGCGCGTAGGCCAGCCATCTCTTCCAAAAAACAACCTACAGGAGGAGGAGGAGGAGGAAGAGGAGGGTGAGGAGGAGAAGGAGGAGGAGAAGCAGGAGGAGGAGGAAGAGGAGAAGGAGGAAGAGGAGGAGGAGGAGAAGGAGGAGGAGAAGGAGGAGGTCTGGAGCATGCGCGGGCGCCCCAAGCCCACTTGGCACTGGCTTTTGACTCGGGCGTTGCGGGTGCCCTCAGAGTGTTCGCTTGCCGTGCGCAGGCCGCCCACCCACCAACAAAAGCAATACAAACTACAGTTGGCCTCCAAAAGTGGAGCATGCGCGGGCGCCACGCGTCCACTCGGCATGGGTGTTTGAAACGGACGGCGGGGGCACCCACCTGTTGCATGACGCGCGCGGGTCAACAATCTCTGCCAACTTACACTGCTAGATACACTTTGCTTCCACATCTGGAGTCTGTGCCGGCGCCCCGCGACCACTTTGCTTTGGTGCTTCACAGAAGCACTCGGGTGCCACCCATGTCTTGGGAGGGCGTGTGGGAACGAGGCGGCCTGTGCTTGGAGAGCAGCAGCCGTCTTGACTCCTACTAAAACAAGGCTAGGATCGGGATCAATCGCTCCAGAGCGTTCCGGAGCGCCCTCAGAGCGTTCCGGAACGCTCTGGAGCGGCCGCGGCGCCCAATACATCCTCCAAACCCGCCAATTCTCAGAGATTTCGAGTTATCCCGATCCGATATTGTCCCGATCTTCGCGTCGTTTACTTACCCCTTTCCCCCGGCGTCTGGACGGTGGGGGCGACCGGTCAGAGAACCCACGATGGTTCCAAGGAGATCGCTCTTTTACTCAGTGGGAGTTGCTTGAAATGCCCCGGGGCAGGGTGAATGCGAGCCACCAGCACACAAATCGCCTGTGTGTGCCACTGTCCCTGTGCACACAACAATGCCCAACGCCTGCGTGCCAGTCCTTATGTACTCGACAATGCGCAATTCCTGCGTGCAACACAGCGCCGCCTGCGTGCACCACGCTGCCTCTGTACACCACAGCAACCGCGCGCACCACAGCACCACGTCGCCTGTGTACACCGCGGTGCGTGT